AGAAATAGCACTAAGTAGGATAGACAAAACAACGGCTGATGAAGTACGTGCACAATGTGCACTTACATTAAAACGACAAAAATGTGGAAAGCCTAACCTAACAAAACCAGAGATAGAAGCCCTGAAACACCTTAAGAACAACAAGGACATAGTAATCACAAAGTCAGACAAAGGAAATGCAACAGCAGTATTAGACAAATCAGACTATTTGGACAAGGTAAATACTCACATACAAACAAGACCATATGAGGAAATTAATAAATCAATAGACACACAGTTATGAATAAAGTTAAGAAATCCACAGCTGACCTTATACGCCGAATGAAGCCGTTTCTAGGTGAGTCTAAGTGGTTTAATTTAATGCCCAAAACTAATAACCCTAGTAGGATGTATGGTGTTGTCAAAGTTCATAAATCAGGATACCCTATTAGGCCTATAGTTGATTTTACAAATTCACCTACTTATGAGTTATCTAAATATTTAGCCATGGTATTAAATCCCCTAAAAAGCCACTCAAAATCTAGACTAACTAAAACAGATTAGATAATTTAAAATTAGATAATGAAGAAAAAATGGTTAGTTTTGACATTGTCAGTTTAAATACACGTATACCAATAAATATGGCTATAGAGGCAGTCAGAAACGAACTCATTTCTGACCAAGAACTCGAACTTAGGACAAAAGTGCCACTTGAGGATATAATGCTGGGAGTGCAGCTATGCCTGACTTCCACAGTATTTAAATTCCAAGGGAAAATATATAAACAAACTGAGGGAGTTGCCATGGGATCACCAATATCCCCGGTTGTAGCAGATATATTCATGGATAGGTGGGAAAGCATAGCGATTGAAACGTTCACCCTCACCCCAGAAGTATGGTGGAGGAATGTAGATGACATTCACTGTACTCAGAACACAAGATATAGATAGATTTTTCGAACACATCAACTCGAAGGTAGAGGAAATTCAATTCACTTATGAATTAGAAAGTCAGGAAGGGGAGCTTCCAATGTTAGATTGCAACGTAAAAAGGAAAGAAGATGGGAAGTTAAACACTAGTGTTTACAGAAAACTCACACATTCAAACAGGTATTTGGACTTCCGATCATCCCATCCTATGTCAGTAAAAATAGGATTGGTGAAATGTTTAAGTGACAGAGCACAAAAACTAAGTAGTACTAAGGAAAATCTAAGACAAGAAGTGATACACATAAAAGAAGCCTTGAAACTTAATAATTGTCCAGATAAATTAGTCAGGAAATATTTAAGGAAATCTAAAAATAAAATAAATAATCATAGTAGAGATAGTGATAATAATAATAATAATAATAGTGATAGTAATGATACTAATAATAATATTAATGACGACACCAACAATAAGGAATCTAAATCATCAACAGTAATTCCCATACAAGGAAGGAACCCCGGAAGCCTTACGCAGACTTCTTAACAAGGCAGGAACAAAAGTGGCTGGCATTCAAACCAACCACAAACTCAGCTAGAAACAAGCTTTTTCGGTTAAAGGATCCTGTGGAGCCTTTAATACCCTGCCTGAGATGATTGTCAGGTCAAACTAGTCGAACGGGGGCAGTCAGACTAGCTGAACATAAAAACTTAGCAAAATCTAGATTGATTGACCCAAATAAGATAAGAAGTCTAGAGAATAGTTCAGCTATAGCACTACATGCAATTACACACAACCATACAATAGGATGGGATAGGATGACAGTTTTAAAATCTAATGTCACAAGGTATAGGGAAAGATTGATAACAACGGAAGCTTTGTTTATCGAACCAACTGCAAATACATGTAGTAGGAATGATTCATCACCTGTCCCTGATATCTGGAAAATTCTACTACCCCTACGACGACAAATAGGAGAAAACAAAGAAAACTATAAAATTCAAGTTTCAAAGTCGTGTGATTAAAATTGATGATATGATTATGAACAATAAATTTTGTTTCGAAACGTCATCCAGTAAATGTTTCACTGTGTGATATATCTAATAAACAAACCAATATGGAATTACTACCACAGTGCCCAAGTTTTAGACATACATATTAAGACTGTAGATAGATTACTATTCAGGTTTAGCATCAAGAAAGTGAAGGACAAATGCAGAAAGGATCCATTCACTTCAACTTTCAGAGTAACGTCGTAAACATTATGTAGTAATATGGAAGAAACCTGTGTGGAAGACCACTGGAACTCACTGGAAGTGATTTCGAGGGAAACCTGCGCAACCATCAGAAAAAGGGAGAACAGACAAAACGAGGCTTCTCGCGCACATGTAAAAACAAACTGTTATGGAATATCTGCAAACTTCATTATGATTCTGGAAGCTCCTTGCACTATATGGTGGTTTGTGGTCATATGTGCTTGTATTCAACGTTTCGTACATAAGAGGGTGAATCTCCATTTTACTCACCAACATTGAGATGAGGTCAATCTTATTTTTGGTCTGTCCATCTGGTGAAACCCGTCTACCTGTGTTGATAGATTTAATTAGCTAACGGTGTTAAAAACTTTATCCCTGAACAGAATACGCGCCGTTTTATTCACTTTTGCAAATTGTTCAACATGCTAAAACGTTATTAATGATGGAGAACAACACCAACAGCAGTTTTTGTTGAAGTGTTTTTCAACAGAAATCCATGGTTTTAAGTTTAGTGCTTTTTAAGTAATCAGCTGGTGGGTGTATCGTAGATTTTTAAGGACTCATACCTTCCGTGGAAGCTGAATTGGCAAGTTGTATAATTCTGGGAAGATGGTTTAGATAGTGGTTAGGCTAAAAGCATTTAATGTCATAGTATAAGTGGTTTATCCTATGTTTAAGGATAGTACTGTAGCGAAAGAAGACAAGGACCAGGCAACAACATATCGTTTATTGAGACAATCAAGAGATTTAAAGTGTTTTATGTACGTCATTGTCAGCGGAGGAGCATCATCTTCTGACTGGTTGTTTTCTTGTTGAAGGTTATTCTCTATCGCTTGTGATCGTTTCTTAGAAAGTTAAGCCATATATCTACGAATCGTATTTGCACACGTTAAGTCTGCTGCGATTGGTTGGTGATCTCCTCAAAGTTAAGCTTTGTTATTACCTTTTCGCATGACCCCGATTTGGGACGTGAACATGAACGTAAATTACTGTCTACAATTTTTGGCTTGCAGCCAGCTCCGTCCACAGTACTACCGGCGAATGTGGGTGTGACAGCATTAAGGTATCTTCCTTAGATGACCAGCAAGCCAACTATACTCCGTTTTGCACTGTAGGGGTGGGGAGTTAGGAAAATAGTGAAAGGAACCTAAATTATCAAGGAGGGGAAGGAAGGAATACAGTGGATTGATCACTTCGAAGCACTCTTGAACTGCCCACCACTCACAACTCGTTCAGAAATACCAACAACAGCCAAAGTATTGCCAGTGAATACTGATTCACCGATAAAACCAGAAGTTTTGAATACCATGAGGCTATCGAAAGCCAACCAAGAAAGCAGCAGGACCAGACGGAATTCGTCTAGAAGCACTGAAAACGGAACCAGAGACCTCGGGGGATATACTCACGTCACTATTGCAAAGAGCTTGGGAGGAAGGGTACCTTGTCAAACTACCAAAGAAAAGTGACTTAGGAATTTACAACAACTGGTGCAGTATTATGCTTCCGTTCACGCTGAGCTAAACATAAAGTCCCTTCATCCTGGAGAGACAGAAAAATGCTCCGGATACGAAACTCCGCCTGTAACCGGCTCAATTTGCGAAAAGTAAATCATTTGCTGATGAAATTACAATGTTACGACTACATAGTTAAACAGAGAATAAAATAGCAGTCAAATGCCTACCTCAACTTCATTGACTGTGAAAAAACCTTCGACAGTGTTGACCACGAAGTAATTTGAAAACTGCTGCAACGCTGTGGTGTGCAGTGGCCCAAACTTTGATCAACCTCATTCAATGAAAAAAATCATTAGTGCCTTTGAAATGCATACGGGAGTAAGAGGAGGCTGTCTATTATCACCTGGTTGTGGTGGACTGGATCATGCGGTACACTGTAGGGAGAGAGAACACAGGAATACGTTGGACCGATACTAAGACTCTAGAGGACCTGTACTTCCCAGACGATGTTTGTCGAATGTTACACAAACTTGAAGATCTACAGGCAAAAACTAACTAACAACTTGGCAAAAGAGGCAACGAACACTGAACTTCTAGTGAACGTAGAGAAGAAGATATAGGTGATGAAGACACTAGGACGCCAAAAACAACAAGCACTAATTACTATCAACAGAAAAATTTGAAGGAGGTCACCACCAACACGACTTATCTAGGCGGCATCTTTTCGACAACAGGTGGCACGAATAAAGATGTCCAAGGTAGGATTTTAAAGGACAGATCTTTATTGCTCTGAAATCACTAGTAATATACTGCACAAAAGCATAAAGAACAAGATCTGGGTTTTCAACCTCAATATTACGTCAGTCACTGCTTGCATATGGTTTAGAGATATGGTGGGTCACTAAAAGCATTTCGAACAGGTTGCTGCCCGCTTCCGACAACAGATGTCTTCGATGTCTCGATAATGAAGATCAGATGCTCTCTCCAGTAGGGATTAGCAACAAGACTCTTTGACAACCAACTGAAAACCTACTGAACAACACATATGCCGAAGAAAATGAAGATGGACCTGGTGCATGCTGTGGAGACCGTTGAATGACACCACGCGCCGGGCCCTCGTGTGGAACCTGGATGGGAAACGATGAGTTCGGCGTGGGTCTGAGGATGACATGGATGAGATTGTATGAAGGGGAAATGAAGGCTTATGGACAATTGTGGAGCCAGCTAAAAACAAATGTAGAGAACAAGGTAAAATGGAGGTGTGCTCCTCCTGAGCGATATGTTCCACTCGGAACCTAAGTGAACAATAATATATAAATAAATGAGAATAATTTTGATTGACTACAAAAAGTAGTAATTTCTTTTTAAAACAAACAGGTAGACATACCACTCCGAATAGCAATGCTCCAAGTCCACCATAGACAGCTTGCAAAATCTAGTCAAAAGTAAACAAATAAAGGAAAGTGAATGTAAAAATAAACATTAAAATTTGTATCATAGTAATTATTTATTTAAAAAAATTTATCTTATGTAACAACAGAAGACAAGAGCCGGCAACAGATCGTTTTATTACGGAAATCAACACGTATTTATATGTATTTCCTGTACATTATTATAGCTTATGCAAGTAAACAAACGCAGGCTTCTGATTGGTTGTCTCGGGTAACATAGAAAAGTGGAGCCATCTATCTGCGAATCATATTTGCCCACGTTAAGTTTGCTGTGATTGGTTGTTGAATCAGCCTTAATCATATTTTCTCACAGTCAATATTAGTGACCTAGATATTGACGTAGATTAATGTCTACCAATTGGCTAGCAGCCTGCTCTCACCACACTTATATTCTTTGTAAAACCATAGGATCATAGATGAGGGATTTCCATGCCATGTTTCTGCATTTTCTTTCTTTCATTTATTAATAAAACGTTGAGATAATCATTACATTTCACCTTATTTTTATTCCTTTGCGTTTCGATCGGAGCATAAGCTTCAAAGCTTGAATTTTGAAGTTTTAGAAGCAGTCGTGTTTACATTTTACGGTGTGAAGTGGCCAGCTAGCTTTACGCCCAACCTTACCTTCAGCTAGACGAAATTTAGGAATGTGCCAGCCGGGAATTAAACCCTAGATCATGTGAGGTGTGGTTGGCGACTGTTCTACCACCACAAAAAACCCCGGGCCTCCATTCATTTTACCTACGGATATGTTTAATTGAAGTGATCCACGTGAAAACTACCATATTCTTTTTAGTATTAGTAAATATATGCATACAAATTTATATTTGGAGACGCAAGAAGTGAAATCTGTTAATTACCTATGCAATTACATGGAATCGCATAATATTAATGCCACATTACTGAATAACTGTTTAGTAGAAATCATACTACAGTCCGTGTTTAATTATATGAATAACTTGACGAATCCTAGGGTGATAAATGACTTTGCTGAATGCAGGAGATTGGATAATGAGACAGATAGCGACAAGCAGCAAGTAAACAGGCATAAAATGAACCCTCACAAAAAACTTGGAGGATCTGGACTTTGCCAATGATATATGCCTGATTTCCCACAAACTGGAAGATATGCAAGTGAAAACCAACAAGTCGACAGAAGAAGCATCAGAGATAGAACATAGACAAAACAGAGGTGATGAAGATTCCTGGCCAACAGCAACGACAACAGACAACCATCAGCATAAATGGGAGAAATCTGAGAAAAGCAACCTCATTCACCTACCTACCTGAGAAGCATCGCTTCAACTACAGGCGGATGGAACTGAAGAGGATATCAAAGCAGCGAGGATCGGGAAAGCAAGGCAAGCAAGCTTTCATTACTATCACCAAGTCTGTGTAGAGGTTAACAGAACTCAGCATGAAAAATAAGATCAGGATTTTCAACTCCAATATCAAGTCAGTGCTACGATACGGATCAGACTTGACGCGTCATAAAGAGCACCTCAAACAAACTACAGACCTTCATCAACAGTTGTCTTCGCTCAATACTCAAGATCAGATGGCTGGCCAGAAAAGATCAGCAACAGGGATCTCTGGCAATGAGCAAACCAACCCAGCAGGAACCGATTGTGAAACAAACAGGCAGGAAGAAATGGAGATGGATTGGCCATACTCTAAGGAAACTATCAAGTGACATCACTACACAAGCCCTCCAGTGGAACCCGAAAGGGAAGCAGCGAGTTGGTCGTCCAAGAGTAACTTGGAGGAGGTCATGTGAAGAGAAGATGAAAGCATGTGAGTAGACTTGGAGCCAGATGAAAACTTTAGCAGAGAACCGAACGCAACGGAGACGCGCGACTGAAGCCCTGTGTTCCTCCAGGAACTAAAGGAAATAAATAATAATAATTCACAGAATAACTTAATCACCAAGATGCTGTCATTAGGATAACTGTACTGATAACTGCCTGACCTCTTGTTTGATCACGAGTACCCTTGGAAAACCAGGGAATACTGGACAGCTGTTTCTTCCAGGTTTGGGACTCTTCATAGCAGTACTCCCCTAACCGAGACTCGGACACCAGGATTTTACGTTTACAAGGCAAGGTTGTCAGACATTCAGACACTGGGACCTGATCCAATGAATCATGAACTCTAACTTTTACCAATCTGTGATTTTAGCGCAACCGCCCTCATAATATCAGCATACCGGTTCTTATTTGACATCCACGATGTCTCTTTTTTGATTCCTTACGTTCCGTGTGAAACACAGGACTTCAAACTATGAAGTTTTAGTAGTGATGTTGTTGTTTTTGCATGGGATAGGGTTATCAGCCACCTTACGCTTAATTTCCCATCTTTTTTTCTGGATTACTGCCTACTAAAGAAGAGGTTTACAAGAAGTGTTTCGGCCGGGAGTCGAACTCTGACCTCACACATGACAGTCAAATATTCTACTATGGAACCATAGGAATAACAATACAGATTTCTAATAATCTAGAGGAACTAACAGAGACAGGAAGAAAGATTGTTGATGACATATTTATACTTTATGTTGGGGATTTTGAAGAGACGAACTGTCACGCTTATCATTCGTAAAGGACATTTTCTAGAAAAAAATTATTATATTCATCTGATTAATAAGTGGTATTATTATTACTATCTTCCTAGTCATATCATCATCACTCAAAGGTATATTTCATGACAAATTATAATGAAAGAAAAATCATAATTATTAAATCAAGTATTGTGTTAATTAACTTACTCTATTCGGTCCAGATACTGCATAGACAATTATGCAAGCAATTCCAGTTAACATTACCACAATAGACAAGACAAATATTAATGAAGTGCATTTAGTAATATCAATTTTTGTTTGCATTGCAAATATAGAGATTGCTATACACAGACAAGCGGTAATAGCAACAGCGATCAGAACAGATTGTGTATCATAATATGATGTAATAGTACCCGTCATATAGGAGAATGCCAATGTCTGTAAGATTATATACAAATACAAAAATAAAAACATACATATAAACAAACATGTATATTTTATGGTATGAGATAATTAAATGTGCACGATGAAATCAAAAAAGGAATCGAAAACCATGAAGTCAACGCTTTAAGTAACTGGGGTTGTGCTGAATCCACTGCTAAAGTAATGTTGCGAGTTTTAGTTCCAATCAATACAAGTTATCTTAATACAAAAAATAACAGTTCCGATTGTTCTTTGAGCATCAGACAGGCAAGTGTTAGCTCACTCATGAACCAGGGAGGAATAACACTCCCATCAGTTCAAGACGCATATGGGATCTAGGTATCATATTAAACCATGACCTACAAACTTCAGCTGAGTCGGTGGCATAGCGGTTAGGACGCTCGCCGACCATACGCATGGTCCGGGGTTCAATCTCTGGCCGACGCACTCCTTTACCTCGCTAAGCCATAAATAATGCTGGTAAAGAGGAAAGGTTGGGCATGAGGCTAGCAACCTCATCCTGTAAAATAAACACTGCTAAAGAAACTTCAAGCCAATAGCTTGAAGCCCTATGTTCCACTGGGGAACGTGAAGGAAAAAAAAACTTCAGCACACTGTCGCATGATGGCGATACACAGAGCGTTTACTAGGATCACTAGTGATATATATGCACCTCTTTATATACATCTATGATGAGGTCGAAACAAGAAAACTGTTTCCAGATAGCCCAGCACCCTTGTCTTAAGGGGGATTCGTACATTGTAGAAGGGGTTCCAAGGAAGGTGGCATGTATGATTCTTGGTATGACCAATTTAGCATACGATACAAGACTTATAAGTGGGAATTTCTCCCCTCGCCATACCGCAGACAGGGTAGACAAGAGATTTCTGTGGAGTACAGGTTATCTCATCAAGTCATAAACTCTTGGAACCGACTCCCAGAAGAAGTAGGTTCAGCCCCCCCCCCAGATGACTCATTCAAGAAGGGTTGAGACATTCACAGAAAATTATGAGAAAACGGTCAACAATCAATAAATTTGAAATCTAATAACAATCAGACCATTCGAAAGTAGTATTGTTAGTCAATAATACATCAGTGTTCAAAGCTATTCATCTAGACCTTAAGTGGAGTTAGCCGATAACCGTATAAGTAATGCTTTCATAACACTGAGCGAACATCTAAAGCATAAAGCTACATACATTACGTCCCACGTGAGACCACTTCACATGTGTTTAATAATGATAAGCTGTGCATGTCGAATTTCCATAATATCTATCATTTTTTTAAATGTATTCCTTTGTGTTCCCAGTGGAATATAGGGCCTCAAGTTTGAGCTCTGAAATTTCAGTAGTGGTAGTGTTACTTTAACAAACAGGGTGGGGTTGCTAACCTCATGCTCAACCTTCCCTTAATACCGGCTGAGAGACGTTCGTAGGAGTTCATCAGCCGGGGATCGAACCCCAGACCACGTGATTGGCAAGTATTCTACCACTGAACTGACGACGTAATGTAAGTATTTACAACTGTTCAGTTATTTATTCAACAATTTAGATATACAGTTATGACAGAACGATAAAACTTTCTTCCATCTTGAAAGTAAAAATCAATACAGATAATCATATCAGTGTTTGTTACTTATTTCGACAACAGAGTAGAACTTTTCAGTGAACTGTTTCACTCAACTCTATTGACTAATTGACTGAGTTTCGGTATAGAACTTTGGCACAGAAGTGCAGCAGTTCAAGTTGTCACACTCCCTGTAGCACACACAAAGAGCTATAATGTGCAGGCGAGAGAAAGAATAGTAACATGGCGAAACACGAGGGTTTAATGGACGTAGGAGATAACATCTGCGCAATATCTCCAGCCATCGGTTATTAACATCCTGAGAACCCCAACCAGGCAGTCTACATCTCCCTACATGAGCTGCTCAAACTAACTGTTAAAGATTTCATGAACTGATGCTATGTTTTGATTTGACCAGTACTAGCTCTTTTCCCACGTAATCCCATATAAGCTAATACTGCCGGTCAAGAAAGGCGACGGCTACTCACTCATGCCTAAATTAATAACTTTACCATCTCAGGAGATCCATCTTCAAAACCTGCATATCTAACACTCGATGCCTAACCTCAACATTACTAGCCATATTATACCAACTAACAGGGAAGATGGAACGCAGATATTGATAATTAAGGACAGCCAGTCCTTTCATATATCCTACTTCCAATGGCCATGTCTCACGGCTATAAAGGAGGACGGAGTGAACAGTCTTTCAGTACACACGTCCGAAGACTCAACCATATTAATTCATTTATGTCAACCAAAATGGTAAAACTACACCAGCTGGAGACTTAGAAAAACCAGTGTATAAAGTGCAGTATAACATGGTCAGTGGGTCAGATGACGCAATGAAGGCCACCTGTTATTATAATGCAACTAGTATTCTCATCAGTTGAGCAATCACATTTTATACGAAAACTGACTAAAGATGCTGTGAGCTAGCTGCTCATATATGCAGAATAATCACTATTAATTAGTAACACAAGAAATTAAGAAATATAGCATAATTCACTCTCCACTGGAAAACAACTCAAAATGTAACTAGATGCAAAACGAACTATGTGGTGTTTTGGTAACAGTACCTTTTTAAATAATACTTCCTATATTCTTTTAATCCCTATCTTCAGTGGAATCTGATAATTCGATGACTAGTTATTCTTTTTGCAACACGTCTTATATATCCTCACATTGCTCACATAATGTAGAGAAGGTCCTCCTCATCACCACCACATCATACTTTGGGAAAAAATCAAATATATATATACACACACACACACATAAATATGAGAGGGAACTATAAATGTATATCTCTTCAAAACACAAAATATACAACTTACAAAAATAGATAGAGCAATAATATTTCCAGGATATCTTCGTCTTACACTCGGGCAACAAACCAATGCAATATAGGTGCATAGAAAAATCCCACTAGTAAAAGTTTCAAATGAGAATAACAGCAGCACTTTAAGGTATGAATTTCACGACAATAGAAATAGTATAATACATTATCAGAAGAGTAAACAAACAGATAAGTAGAATTAATAACTACACTGTTCTACACGATGTTTGTTTGTTTGTTATTACTCAATTACCCAGTACTGGATAGTGAGTCAAGCTTATTATGTGAGTGATAGCATGGAGGATTTAATCATGAGCTGACATCAGTTAGAGAACCACTGGAAAACCTGGGAGTACTGGACAGCTGTTTCGACCTAGTTTGGGAAGATAATGATAGTTTGAGTGATAATGATATTACCCTGTTGCCCAGTCTGTGAAGTCCATGAAGCGGGAATCAAACCCAGGACCCGTTGACTGAAAGACGAGTGCTACAAGTACTACTAGCTAAAGTTATTATGTAGCTGTAGTTCAACGGTCTCACTCCAAGGATACCTGAATTAAAACTTTGCTCAACCAATCAGTGGATTCATTTTTACAGGGGAGAGCGTGTGAGCCAGCTAGCTCACGGCCAACCTTCCCTCTTTACCGGTTCTCCTACCAGCTTAGCTGTCTGGGAACAAACCTCTGACCACGTGAGGCGTGATCGGCGAGCGCTCTATCGCTGAACCACCGACTCATTCCTACAGCTCAATTAGACAGTAGTGAGCCAGGCAAAGTGAGGAGACTGAGCGTGGGACTAGCAATACCACCCCGTAAGAATAAAGCCACTGCTACCGAAACTTCAAAGAGTCAGCTTGAATCCCCGTGTTCCACTCGGAACATAAAAGACGCCGATGAGCGGTCGTACAAGTGTGTACACAAGCCTACAACCTATATAACTAAGAATCAGTTTTTTCTGATCCCATGAACAGTCCATGAGTAAATTAGGAGGGCACAACAGCATAGTAATCGTCGACTTTTCCAAATAATCCAGTTAGAATTGAGTAATGAAGAAAATCAATATGGATTTGATCACCACTTGATGTGTTGTTTTCTGACATGTGATAATTGATAAGGAATGTCAGAAATTATATTTTTCAGAACAGTCGTTCACTTAGACAAACAATCAATCAACACAAAACACACACACAACCGATCGAATCAATTTATTTCTATCCTTTCTTATTACTATATCTCCACTTCATGGGATATTCTGCAGTAATACATACTGTCACAAATGAATTTATGGTGAAGTTCTTTAAGGGATAATTTTCAAGTCTATTTCTATGACTGCTATTCACTAACCGTTTCGAAATGAGTCAATTTTAATCATGTCTTGGGAATATACTACTTTTACGACAACTACTAAAAATGTTTGTTAAGTAAAACTGACTATCAAGTATGACTTTGCAGGGATTTAACTGATTACAGGTTTGCCCACGAGGTGACATCAATTAGAGAACTACTGGAAAACCTGGGACAGCTGTTTTCTCTTAGTTTGGGACTCTTAAGTAGTATCCACCCATCACGGTTCGAACCCAGGATTTTTCGGTCATAAGGCCCGCTAATAGATCATTCAGCCATTGGGACTCGATCCAATGGCTAACAATATTGGCTGACGGTTGGCCTACATATAGCCAATTGGCGGAAGTTGGAATTCAAGAGGGACTGGATGGGGTCCCAGTGGCTGGATGGTCTACGAAACCCTCTTGTAACCGGAAGCCCAGGCTATCAACCAAGGGACGTGTGTACTGCTCAGCAATCCGGAAGGCCCTGGGTCCGCCCTCCCCCCCCCCCCGATGGTGGGGGCAGACCCAAACTAGGACGAAATAGCTGTCCAGTAGTGCTCCCTACTTTTCCAAAAGCTCTCTAACTTATGCGATCAAACCTATAAGTAAAACTAACCTTTAAGAAAATAAATATTATCAGTATAAGCTTACTAGGATAGGTAATAAAACCATGAATTTCTTGCAACCCAATACTTTACACGATACCTATAATGAACGGGAATTAGGTTTCAGTACTTTTAAAACTTACGAAAAAAGAAAAGTGCATATAAATGCTGAAGTCACTAATAACTGAGCTGTTAAAATTAGATAGACCTGAAAGAAGAAGAGACAGGATGAATGACTGAATACACACGATAAGTTACCTTTCGAATGAAAGCATGCCTAATACTTTTCTCAGAATACTCTAAACTTGTAAACGGTTCACCACGATTAGATTTAGGCTCTAGATTAGATGGTTGACCTTGATATCCTGTTGAATCAGAGTATGGTCCAACTGCAAAGCCGATTGTAGGATATGGAGCTTGAATAAAACATAGAATTAAGGATAAAAAGAAAAGTGAGATCAACTAAACACTTTGAAAATTTATCTGGAAAATGAAAATAATAAGCACTTGCTTACTAGCTAGAAAGCACATAGCAGTGGTTAATAACAAATAACGACCACTTAACACCACTGACAGATTTCGTCACCAACCAACACCATTGATAACCAGGGAGCTTTGTCATCCTGCTTTGGGACTCCTTGTCAGTGCACACCCACGACCCCGGAATGTCCAGGCTACCAGACAAAGCTCGCTGACCATTCAGCCACCTGGGTTGGAATTCAACGACCCGTGAATTCTAACTTTGTCAACTAAGCGAAGTACCTCCAACCTCAACCAACGTGCAGGTTGGAAAAGAGCCAGTGGTGGCCAAACAAAAACATGGCCTCATCAATCCATGAAATCCTTGACAGTTAAACTGAGTCGGTCAGGTAGGGAGATGCAGACTCCCGGGTTGGGGCCCTCGGGACTCTAGGAATCAATGGCTGGAGACAATAGGTGACATGGCTCAAAATCGTTGTCAATGGCCAGCGCAGATGTATTCAGTCTCTGTAATCTTTCATATTTCTTTCCACCATTACCCATTCTGTTTCGCTTTTATACCTGTCAAACTCTATTGATTCTCTTCACCCATCTTCTTGTCTACCTTGTGTGCCAATCGGAACGTGGGAACTCGAACTGCTGCACTTCGGTGGCAAGTTCTATGTTGAATCCAGACAGACAACCAACGCCTTTAGACGAGCGTCAATTTCGCCTTGACATGATGGACCCCCCACTGGTCACGAATTTTTCACTACAGCTCTTCAGGAAATCCATCCAGTAGCTATAAATGAGCAGTTGGAGTTTGACATTTAGATTGTCCGATTTGTGGGCATTCAGATTAATTTAATTTCAACTATTAGATTTCATCCCGAACAAAAGTCGGATGAAGAGACACCACTGGAATTAAATTAGTCCAAATCTCTTACATATTCCATAAACTATTTACAGAAACTTGCTAGTTAACTTCACTTTTTACAAACAACCAAAAACTCATCTAAACTGCTCAAAATGCGTATCCGATTTCAGACATTTATTTCCCTTGATAAATTCGAACGAAACAGGAAGAACGTATTGTGCAACATAAAGTGACATCATTGTATTTCGTTGGTTCTTACCAGCTGCATACCACCACGATCCATTTCATATCAATCAAGATAAAAATATTCAAATACTGCACTTATTGATCATATATGTCTGATGGATATTAATATTAGGTGAAGAGGGGAGTGGAAAATAGAACAAAGTGGAGGTGTGCTTTCGAAGCCCCATATTCTACTTGGAACCCAAGGGAACAATGATAATAATGAGTAGCTTAATGGGAAAGAATGAGAGCCTCTGTTAAGGTCCTGAGGATGCATAGAAATACTTGAACATTCTAAAAATATGAATGGATGTTGCAGACTGAATACAACAAACTTAAACAAGGATTTGTGACTGCCTACCTGAGAATATTCCAAGAAACTTGTATCTGAAAGGTATGAAACTGATTAGCAGTGCGATTGCTCGCTTCTTACCTACCTGCTACACAATCATCATGAAACAGATCCATTAAAATCCTCTAAGATTACTAAAGTTGAAGACAGCTCCAGGTTTCCGCCTATTATAGAAGTGATTGCCATTAAAAGACTCAAACCAAATATATGCATCCAAAAAGAAACCATTGTTAGTCTTGTTTTAAATTAATAAATGTCTGTCCGTCTGTCTGGATTCAACATAGAACTTGCCACCGAAGTGCAGCAGTTCGAGTTCCCACGTTCCGATTGGCACACAAGGTAGACAAGAAGATGAGTGAAGAGAATCAATAGAGTTTGACAGGTATAAAAGCGAAACAGAATGGGTAATGGTGGAAAGAAATATGAAAGATTACAGAGACTGAATACATCTGCGCTGGCCATTGACAACGATTTTGAGCCATGTCACCTATTGTCTCCAGCCATTGATTCCTAGAGTCCCGAGGGCCCCAACCCGGGAGTCTGCATCTCCCTACCTGACCGACTCAGTTTAACTGTCAAGGATTTCATGGATTGATGAGGCCATGTTTTTGTTTGGCCACCACTGGCTCTTTTCCAACCTGAACCTATATCAGCTAGCAAAGCCCGTCGGGGGAGGCGGTGGTTAGGCATGCGCAGCACGTGACCTAGCCATCTTAGTCTATGTAACTTTATAGCCTCGTCGATTGATTTTCCCTCTTTGCCCAACACTCTACGCCTAACGTCAACATTACTTATCTTGTGAAACCACCTAACGTGTACTTTGTGTTACTTAAAAAATAAACTGTCTGATTTCGCCTTTTCTATGTATATTTACCGATTTGACTGCTCCTTTAGAGCCAGTTGCATAGGTCGTACAATTAGGCGTGTTTCTCGTCGGATCTCCGAAAAACACCCTGCATGGTTAAGTAAAGGACAAACAATATCCATTCATAGAGTTATTCTATTTCATCTAGCGGATACAGAACACAAGATTGATGTCAACGAGGCTTTCAAAGTCATCTATCGCATACCAACTAATCTTAACTTTACCTTTAGAGTTCATCTACTGCATATTGGTGGGGCTGTTGGAATATACACTAAGAAACGCAACTTATTTATCCAAAAGAAGCTGCTTACCTTGGCCATCTAGGTTCGAATGGCCCTCAAATTTATGTAGAAATTTCCCTAACTTTTAGCTGATATTCTATTTGCTACTATATCTTTATTATTATCATTATTTAAGCATCTTTATTGAACTATAAATTCACTGATCTTACTTAACAAATCGATATTATTTAAAAAGCACTAATATTGTTATTGACTACTATTCTAGAATATTCTGTGTATACGAACATAAACATAATTGTAGAGCCAGAAGAGGAAATTATTATTTATTTTTGTTGATCCCCTTATTTTACTTATATATTATCTCGACAAAGTAATTTAAGCCCTACTTCTCTTGACATCTGTTCAACTACATTATTTGACTCTTACATGAGTGGATTATTGATTTTACGCCTTCATCCAATGTGTAAAATACATTCCTAATCCTAAAATATTTTCTAATTATTTCTATACATACTCACGAGCTTTAATAGTGGCTGTTATGCCTTCCCATTAGGCTATTTAGTCATATGATATTAATAACTATCAGCCATATGATCAATAAGTACAGCATTTGAATATTTTGTTTTACATCACAATATGAAATGGATCATGGTTGTAAGCAGCTGGCAACGAAATATATTAGCGACGTTACTTTATCCTGTTCAACATGTTCTTCCTGTTTTGTTCAAGTTTATCAGATTAGATTAGAAAAATCAGAAAGTGATGAATAAATAAATTCTTCACTCAAGTCTATAAGAATACCAATATCTCTCTGAATGATTCATTATTGTTACTTATGAAAACTACAAGTGAACACCTTAGAAGTTTTGGAGAGTGACCAAGGGTATGAACAGTTTACTCAAAACACGACAAATTATTAAGCAGATGATATTCTCTAGTCATTTCTTAACCTTGATATAAATACATTGGTTATAAGATGGAAAAAAATCCAGGAGAATTTGTTTTAAACCATAAGCATTTCAAACAGATAACAACTTAAAACGGTGTGAGAAAAACAAGTTTACTATTGAAAGTATGAAAAACGCAAATTAAAAAATAAAACAGCGAAATTATAAAAGACATTACCAGTATTGGTAGTTTCGTACGGAGGAGGTGGATCCCGTGAATAATTCATTTGTGCACCAATAGATGTTAGTTACAAAAACCCAGGAAAAGTGGTAAAACCTGAAAAATTAAAAAGATACGGAGTAAGGTAAGAAAATAAACTTAAGAACTTAGATATGGACGCAGTATGCATAGTTGGCTAGTTGGTAGAGAGCAAAAAATAACCTAATTAGACTAGAAAAACTTGGCACTGCGCCGACCACAGAAGAAATGACCAACAAAAAAGTTTCGCTCAGTGCACCAAGGAGTAAGAAAGACAGATTTGACCGTGTCTGGCTTTGTAGTGAAATCAAGTAATCAAAATCCCAAAAAAGGAAACAAGAACACGAACGAGTCATAATATATGACAAGCCAATCACCAGTCACATGTGCACGAAACGTCATCAGCAAATATTACTGTATAACACTGAGACTTTAACAAAGCAAAATTTATCCACAATGCAATCATACTCTACTACAGTACACAAGCTCCATTCTTATATCGGTGTCTCCAGAGAGGTTTGAATCCAACAATTATTATTTCAAGCCGCAAAGACTTATCTTTGTCAGACGTGTATAACTTATTTATTTACAATCATAATTTTCCATTTCTGGCTTCATTAAGTTAATAGGTCTCCAAAGCCCAAGAGGACTTTGGTCTGAGTCCCAGTGGCATCGAAGTGCAGTCGATTCATGGTGACGAGTTTCAAACAGGAAGATGTGTATCCAGAATTCCACTATGCAACACTCAAGAAATGTTTGCCAGTTGGAAATGTCTTAACAAAATTACACTTCTCGTGGTTTTAGTTATTAAATGGTCTCTTAACACTAGTCAAGAGCTTTGTTACAGCCTCGGACAAATTACGCAATAAGCAAGAGGATACTGACACCCGACACAGAACTAGAAAAGAATGTGACATTACACGGATACAATTATCACCACAATCGGAAATACAATGTCAGTCTGGTATGAATAAAAACGGTGAGATTTTCCACTCTCCATAACACTATAAAATTAAGTAAAATTATGACTTTTCAGTTCATCACCGCACTTTCCCGCTACTTGCTATATTCACTTCATGAAAGAAATATGCAAGGGCATATACGCTTGGAGAACAATGTGTGCACGAAATCTCAAAGACAGTAATTGTAACAAAATAATTGGAGCCAACAACCAAGTCTCCCTTTTGAACAACATCCTCTAACACAGCAGAAGACATGGATTTGACAACGGTAGCGGTAACAACAGTGCACATACCGAATATAGCCAGTAACAAAAATGAGACGCTTCCCATCATTTAAAAAATTGCCCTGAAAATCACTGTCTTGATCTGCACCATTGCTAAATAGCACTGCCTCTTGAAAGGTAAGCTCGCGTTAGTGTGAGTGCACGGTGCCAATCAATCCCAAACTAAAATCGAAACAACTCTTCAATGTTTAACGACTGTGAATGGTCGTGAGATGTACTTTACGAAAACTATATCTGCACCTGATGATTTTTTGTAACTCCCACGTCCATATACATCAGGAACTCATCAAATAAATGATAACACGACCTTGGACCAACTACTATATTTGCATTACCTAAAAACTGATATGAAGCTTAGATTCCAACTTAGGCGAATGATTAACTTGGATGAGCTAAACTAAGTAAGCCACACCATTCGACCTTACTTCAAACTTTGAGCGACTATGGAACAATAAAAGTAGCGAAATTTTTAAAAAGACGACTATAGGACGAGGTGTTGGTTTAAACCAGTTTAGTTTCTCATTCTCACCACTCATCCAAACCAACATCTCAGTCCTAAAACACGAGATATTCTGTCAGTACTACCCCAAGTAAACATGTTTAGGTTACTACAATTAATCCATTGTTTACAAATTGACCGAAAACTTGATTTTATTGGGACCACTTCGGCAAGTCCAACATAGGAGGCATCAATTGAATTAGTTAGACCGTATGTAACCCTCACTGGCTATCAAGGGTAATGTGCCGAAGTAACTGCCATAGTTAAAACTCTCCACTAACTGATTACCAGAGAAAAATTGGGGAAAAATCGGAAAACCCCTCACAACGTCCAACCTGCCTTTTTTGGCTAGCGCGGTAACTTTTGATAAACAAACTTCCCTCTTCGTCCATTCAGTATCCAATACTTTTGTAAGCCAGAGAGTTAGATTAATGAATACATGATTAAGGCGTCACCTAATATTTATCCTGATGAAAATTGATTTTTTCTTTAAAAGCACTCACAGATGTAGCCGATACCCCTTGATCATGGAAGAAATTTTAGTCGTTAACTTTCCTACATTAGAATGTGAAATCCCCCCCCCCCTTTGGATGGTGAAGTATAGAAAATCTCAGAAATGCCGATATGCATGTTGATTCATGATGGGTAAAAATTATGTCATTCACGAATAAAGTCATGAGTCTTAAATGCGAAAACAATGACCACGGGCAAAGAGAAGGACATATCGTCGCTGAAAAATTATGTCTGGTGTGCGAAATGCTGATTTCAGAAAAAAAGAGAGCCACGCTGGGAGTCGCGCATTGTTGTCGCATAAACATGTCATGAGGCTGTATACATCAGGAAAATCAAAGATCCCTGCCTTCAGCAACCAAATCACTGAGGGCATAGAACTCTATGAAGAGTTCTCCACTGTTATCCATTTCTCCAAGCGACAGCCTCTCAACCCATGATGAGTTCACTTCCTGTATTATCTCTTCTTAGGCCGGCTGCTACCCGTATAGCCCGTAAGAATTTCGATATCGCCATTCGGGATGTTTTCCGCTACCGTTTGTAGTTGTCTATAAAAATCTTCCTCCTCCCCCTCCGCGTTGTTTGCAGGTGCGTAGATTTCTTGGATAATTGTAACCTTCATCTCTTTTGAGTTGAGAGTTGCTGTATTATCCTGCAGGGGGAGACAGGTTCCCACTGCATTAGGGCTTCGGCTGCCACTGGTGACATGATAGCCACTCACCACCTCAGTATGTTCGTGATTGTCGTCCAGATGACCAAACAGCAATGTATTACTGAGTCGCCAGTTGAAAATTTTGACAGTCCACATAAATTCCATTTACTTTCGCAGATACTCAGCACCTCTATGTCATATCTTTTCCTTTCTTTGGCTGCCTGGGCAGCCTTCCCAGCTCGGTTCATTGTACGAACACTGTTTAGCAGGGGAACACCTATCATCAGTGAGGTTCTATTTGACAGGTGTTTCAAGTTCAAATCCTTCAGTTGGAGTTCGGCCATTTTATTAAGATCGATGGTTGGTGGCGCCGACGTAACTCGTACGCGAGACAAAGCGTCTGCTACCAGGTTATCAGCTCCAGAAACGTTCTGGATATCGGAAGTGAACTGTGAAATGTACTCTAAATGGCGTGATTCACGTGGTGAACACCTATCTGTAGTAGTTTGGAGGGCGTATGTCAATGGCTTATGGTCGGTGAATACAGTAAATTGTCGGCCTCCCACGAAGTGACGAAAGTGTTTGACAGGAGGATAAACCGCGAGAAGTTCTCTACCGAAAGTGCTGTATCGGGATTCGCATGCAGTAAGTTTACGGGAAAAGAAAGCAATCGGTAGCCATGCGTTGGACATACGCTGTAGTAGAACGGCTCCAATCGCAGTATTAGAGGCATCTACTGAAATGCTGATTGGTAGTTGGACATCTAGGTGTACTAACATTGTGGCATCAGCTATAGCCTTCTTGATAGTTGCGAAAGCTGTCAAGGCTTCCTCAGTGAACACCAAGGACTTGCGTTTCCCTTTAAGCATATCAGTCAAGGGGGTCAAGATGTGTGTGTACTGGGGGATAAAGCGACGGCAGTAGCTAATCATCCCGAGAAAAGTGCGTAGGGCCTTGAGAGACATGGGTAGAGGGAAGTTTTGGATAGTCTTTACCTGTTCAGATAACGGATAAATTCCATCCCTATCTATCCTGTGTCCCAAAAATTTCAAAGAAGCGACTCCAATCTGACACTTTGGCAAGTTGAGTGTGACGGAGTGTGTCCTAAGTCTTTGGAAAACGGTCTGTAAATGAAATTGATGTGTTGCCTCATCTGGACTAGCTGCCAAAATATCATCCAGGTAGGCAAAGGCGAAATCGAGACTGTGCAAAACGTCGTGGATAAACCGCTGGAAAGTTTGGGCAGCGTTCCATAGGCCGAAAGGCATTCGAAGAAATTCGAAAAGGCCAAACGGCGTAATCACAGCAGTCTTAGGTGTATCGTCGGGGTCGACGGGAATCTGGTGGTAAGCCCGTGTTAGATCCAGCTTGCTAAATACCCTAGCTCCCTTGAGTGACGATGTTAAATCGTGTATGTGAGGGACGGGGTAGCAATCCGGAACAGTTTGTGCGTTTAACCTGTGGTAATCGCCACAAGATCGCCAATCTAAGTCGTTATTCTTGGGTACCAGGTGCAACGGTGAGGACCACGGGCTGCTGGATGGTCGAATTATCCCCCATTTCAGGCATATGCTCAAACTCTGCTTTAACAGCCTTCAATTTTTCCGGGGATAGCCATCGTGGCCTTGCGAAAGCTGAAGGACCAGTCTTGACAATATGATGTGCGACGTTGGAAGTCATACATACGTTAGCTGATCAGTAGATATGGTGGGGGTCACTAAGGTGAATCGCCCCATTCTGCAGGAACAGCAATATACAAATTAAAGGCTCGAGATATTTCTGATTTTTATGAGGGCTTAGATCTTTATCTTGAAAAAGATAATAATGAACGCCTTGACAGATCATGCTTCTACCTCTAAATATATACTATTCGCCCAGCCTATTGTTGAGATGCGACCATGTGGGATGTGCACAGATTTATGGGGCATCTTATAAACTAACTTGCTGTCCATTGTCTGATCTTTAAATACCACTTCACAATGTCTTATCTCATTCATTTTCCAATAACGTCTTTACTTGATCTTCATTATATCCCATTAAACCTAACATTTTACAGCTCTTTATGACTTATTATATTCCTACTCTCTGAAGGGTACGGTTGTACATTAAATGCACAAAAAGGTATAAAACAAAAACAACTGGCACAACTGAGGATAAATGTATTAAAACCAAAAGTGGACATCATGATAGTACGAGATATACGTGTAGCATTATACATTGCAAATGAACGTTGTCAGCCTAGGGAGTTTTCTTTTTTTAATGCATTTATTAATGATACTTGCACTTACCTATTTCATTACAATTTAATGATTCACCTCAGCACTTTTACTTTTCTAAAACAGCTTTCAATCCCTTGTAAACGTTGTACTTACCTCAATTTTGGTTGGTTATCGTATGCCGACAACCACGGGATGAAAACGAAACGAAGTCGATTTTCCCGCTCAACTTGGAGGACAATTGTACAATTCAATAACTATACAGCCTAGTTCAGACAATGTGTATTTATATATATATCAAATATTTAACTGTTGAAACATTATTAACTTGCAGACAATCTACGATTTGATATTATATCATACTTGATCGTGCCTGTAAAAATGGCATGCATTTTCATGTGAATTTATATGTTTATATGAGAATATACATTATTATTATTATGGTAGGCCGCTGCTAGGTTTAAACAAATCCGAAAAAGATTGAAGTATATGCGAATATGGACCAGTACAAGTGGGTGTGGCATATACGGGGCTGAGGGCTGGGCACTTGGTTGAGATACCGTTAACTGAGGCTTGTGGCTGAATCTATCAACTTGTGCTTACCAGCATCTACCAGTAATTGGTAATGCTGTAGCAGATCCATACCGATTATACCTGTGGTCATGTCCGCTACTAGAAAGGCCCAGCGGAATGAGCGGCATAAGCCGATATTCAGAGCAAGAAAGCGCCTGCCAAACATAGCTATCGACGATACATTTGCGGCACGTAGTTCTAACGACATTGGCCGCCTGCGCTCCTTTATTGTGGGTGGGATGACACTGAACTCTGCTCCAGTATCAATGAGGAAGCGTATCCCCGTGTTACGGTCTGTGACATAGAAGAGGCGACATGGGAGTGGTTCGCCAGAAACGTTAGTCGCCCACAAGTGCTGGCCTGCTAGTTTCCCAACCGCATAGAAGCTTGATGACTCCCCGGCAGGAGATTCTTTGGTCTGAGCGGGATTATCGGTGGCCGCAGCCGAAATGCGCATGTTGGATCCAGTAGCCTCACTTGCCCTATCGGCCGCTTCGGCTAGTTCCGGTAAGGGGGACTTGTAGATCGGAGCTAAAATGCCCTGAATCGTCTGCGGTAGTCTTTGTAACCAAAGTTCTTTAAAGACGGCTGTCTGCCACGTCTCGTAAACCGTTAATGCCCAGCTCTTCCTACGCTCGGGCTCACGCTGTTCCTTGAAGTTTCTCAGAAACGCTTAGTACAAACGGACGAAAAAACCAGAACACAGATTGGCGACTCGAGAATTCTTTATTGTAACACTAACATATAAAAAATATTTCTACTAAGGTCTGTGAACAAATATTACAATAATAAATCACAATATTACTTCTGACGGTTGTCTCCTGACTTCTTTCTGAACAGCGACCGATGAGACGATGACTGTCGTATTGATGCCTCGGCGAAAATTGGGGAAGTTGGTTTTGAGCAAACAACCACGAATTGATCGTTCAATCTTCAACTACATTTACACTCCCCGGCAAAATACGGATCCATACCTTTTTTCCATCACGACCAATACATGTTGACTTGGATGCCATTGCGAGAACCTGGGTCACACGGACAGAGCTGAAGTGGAAAACAAACAGAAAGGCCAACACACCACAAACATACTCACAGCACAATCTCACACATCGCTGACGACCTGCGCCTCCAGACAGAGACCTCCTCTCGACATCTTGCAACACAATCGCCAGTTACTAGAATGACTCTTGCAGAATGCGACGTGACCGTAGCAGCACCTCACGATACTCTACGCTCATCCTCTTATCTACTCACTACCTATTACCACTGAAATCGCTTGTCACTCATTCTGCCTCAATTCTAGTAACGATGACGTATGCGAGCCCCAGGCGTCTGCACTCCTGCTCCCCGGCGTGTGGGACCACGGCTAATCATTATCTCCGTATGCATTTCATTCTCAGCAATAGCCTCCCGGCGTACACGACCCATCTACTGTCTTTAACATCAATCGGTTCATTCACGGATGTAGAAGACAAGAAACAACTTCAGAAGTAATCACGACGAAAATTTTAACAAAATTACGCAATAA